AGCTCGTTCCATGCCACCAACAGAGATGCAAGTCGATGGGTAGTGACATCCCTGCGGTGTACAGACACACACACACACACTCACACTACCCAAACACACTTCCAGGCATTTGTGCACATGGCGAGAACAAGCAGCATCTGGATGGTTTCTGTAAGGACTTCATACCCAGGGTTATTAATGACATACTCACTACAGACATGTATGAGTGCATGCAGGGCAGGCAGACAGTCTCTCTCTCTCTCTCTCTCTCTCTCTCTCTCTCTCTCTCTCTCTCTCTCTCTCTCTCTCTAACACACACACATCTGCACATCAGTGACCTTAAGCTCTCATTAGGCATTGTCCATGAATTTGGCATTTATCCGTCGTTTGTCATTGACTTCGCCTCTCCGCTTTTTCTCTCTCCCGTTACTACAGATGTAAATCTGTCCACATGTGAAACCCAAACACTTCACTTGGAGGCGTATTCCCACATCAGTAAAAGTAGACGTTTCATGGACTTAAAAGGCCGGCTACACGCTAGACGATTTTCAAATGTTAACCGATTTTTTTAAACATGGGAGACAACAGACATGAGGACAGTTTGAACCGATACACATACGCACATCTATTTGGCCAGACCCGCAAGACCACAAACCTGTTGTTTGCAGAAATTATTTCACAGTGGCAATTCCACAGACAAGAGATCTCACCTAAAATTGCATGATCAAACCTGACTTCAGGAGAAAAATAAATATGGAGGACGATCCACATAGCTTGGCACAGGTCGCTGCCATGTTTATGAGCTGTAAAAGTACTCTCAACATCCAGTTGCTGACGCATCCCCGTCACCTGCTCGCTCTCATTGGCCATTGCTCTTGGTATTTCGTCAGAGGTAGCCCGATCTGAAATCTTAAATATCGACAATTCCCAAATTTTTGATGGGGAATCGGGCCTAACGTACGGTGTAGATCTGACGCAGAACTGCAAGAACCCAAGTCCAAAATGTTTTGACTTCCACGCATCACGCAAGAACGGCAAGTGCGATCTTGCGCTGCGCTCAGCTTGGCAGGGCGCAGATACGCTCGTGTACGGCGCAACACAGACAACGCATCTGAAAGGACCCTTAAGTGCCATCCCTGCCGTGTTCTACTTTTCTGAAAAGGCTCACTTCTCATATGATTCAGTCTTACTACAAATTGGGGAAATATCTTTTTTATTCTCTCAACGCACAGTAACTTCTACTTTTCCCTCTTGTAATATGGAGTTTTTTTTTTTTTAAAGCCTAAAGTCTTCCCGACGTGTCTCCTCATTTAGACGTGGATTACCATCAATCTGCCAGCTTGTTAAAACTTAATTCATCCTCATGAGCGCGCTCCCTCCGCTCATCTCTATAATTACACACTCACAGCTCGTTACTGTTGTTTGGGATCTCCCGGGCAGCCCCCTTCGGCCATCCTCTCCGCTAACTACTGTACAAACACAGCTCTGGTTTTTTTTTGTCCGTGAAGCTCTTCTGCACCATTTGCAAATCTCATTCCATCACGTCGCGTAACCAGCAGACTCCTCACACTGTGCAATACATCATGTTCAAGTTAATAGAGACAGACAGGCAGGCAGCGTGGAGGTAGGCCTGCTCCTCAGATGATTCTCTGCCTCACATTATGTAATGAATGATGTGTTTACATAAGCGGTGTTTAATTATGTACAAAATGTGAGGAGAGAATCAGACTTTGAACACCCCAAAGCTAAAAGTTGAACTTTAATTAGCAAACTGGTCCGAGGTCAGTCTGCACCGAAGTGCCAGCTCGAGTTCATGTACAAATAAAACATCAGGTAATGTGCAGAATCTGGGACAAGACACAAGCACACATAAATGTTTTTTTCACTGTTTTTTTTGGACGAGCATGTCTGTAGCTCTCAGAAGATAAGAAAATCGATCTTTTTTTTTCCCCACCTCTACTTTTAAGTAAGAGAGTTTCTAGACTTTAGGAAAGAATCACAATTATTCCACCATTTTTATTGTAATAAACTGGTTTAAACTAGTTAGAGTTTTGTTTACTTGCAGTATAAGGTGTCAAGTATCTCTCCAAAAGACATCCTAGAATTAAAAAAAGTATTTAAATAAAATTATCGCTTGTGTCCTGAATCAATTTCTGTTTGTTGGTTTGAAGGGGATTTGATGTTTTATCTTCTGTTACACCTAATTTATTAATCAACTTAACCTAATTTTACACAATTTGGAGATGGAGAGAAGACCAAACTGAAGCCTAATTGTAATATGCACCACTGCACTGTTTCATATTTAGTCATGTAAATATTAGTCTTTTCTTATTATGTTTATTGTTGATATTTAATGTTGTACCTGTACATAAGAGAGCACAGTTGACTGAAGTTAAATTCCTCGTGTGTAAGCATACCTGGCCAATAAATCTGATTCTGATTCTGATTCAGAATATTTTAATTCTTTATTTAAGGAATCTTTGGTTCTGTCACATCACATGACTCTCTCCGTGTCTTCAGGCTCAACAAGAGCTTATTTTGGCATTTTGTCAAGCTTGAGTCAGCTTTCATTTTTGTGCAAATCTTCAATGCCGTTCTGAATGTTTGGACAATTAAATGTGCAACAGTGCAAGGGACGAGAGAGAGCCTGTGGCAAGTTATAAAAAACAATTCATAGCAACAGCCAGTAGAGGACGACAGCAGGCTCTGCCGCAGACATTAAGATGACTGTCAGTTTTTTAATTTTGCTGAAGCTTTTAGCAGACTGGAACGGCTCCTGTGGGACTCCAGAGTGAAATCAAAGATGCTCCACAGACGCTGACATGAACAAAAACACAAATCATGATTCCACATGTCAGAGAAAACATCAATCACATGTGACATGGGAGTTTGTTGCTCCAGTGACCGCTCATGTCAAATGGCTTAAGGTTAACCGTTGGCTTCGTTTTTACTGAATAACAGAATTACATCATCACCATGGCCTCTAATTGCACAGTGCAGCAGGCCTATTGGATTTGTATTGTATTGCACATAATAAGTGCAGCTGTTTAGCTTCAGGGAAAATAAAAGGGGGCCAAAAATAGATCTATTAGAAAGTATTCCCATATGGTGCGTGAATGCGAGGCCTTTTGTAGCTCGTGTACACAGTCAAGAGAGGCCGGGGAAAAAGAGGAGGACGCAGTTTAGTTTAACAATATGAAAGAGGAAATAAGCTTTTTTTTTAAAGATGTGGTTGTAGAAAATGTTTCACTCAATCTGAAACAACACCCATACGTTTAAGATCCTTCTTATAAATAGAAGTTCAGAAGTTTTATCAGAAAAATAAACTCAGAGTTTCACAGTAAAAGTGCTCTGGTGTTGCTTTAAAAGGCTTTTTTGAGATTTTTCACACTTAAATGGAATATAAATCAATATCCTCTGAAAATAACTCTGTGAGTCATGACTGTCTACAATGGGTGTAACACCCGAGTCCCACTGTATGTGATGTTTTCAGAGTTTTCAGAGTCCTATCTTCAGTTTGTTTACATCGCCCAGACGGCCGGCTGACTCCTCCCCTCGTGTATAAAAGTTGTTTAATTGAGGGACTAGAGAAAAGAAGAATAACATACTGTACTCACTGCTTAACTGTGTTTCTAGATCACGCTCATTTCAGGTAAATTTACATGCAGCGTGAAGATACGAGCATAATAAGATCGCTAGCATTAGCATGCTAACACAACAATGCAGCGCGAGTTGTTTTGGTTTCATGCTGGTGCTCAAGGGCGACATCTGCTGGATCAAAAAATCACATATAAAGCCTTTGACATGTGTATCATTGACTTGCACAGCTCTGGACTGCTCCCAATATCAATACTGCTTACTTACAACTGTCATCACTGTTTTTTGCACATTTACATACCTCCAGCAAAGGACGGTTACATTCAGTTAAACATCTCACAAAATGTTCTATTTAATTTTAGTTTTTCATTTTTTAGACTAGAAGTAATGTTAAGTTAAATCCTGGATGTATTATATTTCTTCTCATTCTTAGTTTTTATATTTTAGTGCTTATTTACTTTGTATTTAATATTATATTGTGTTTATTTGCTGATATTGAGTGTTTGATAACCTGCAATTTCTCAGTTTGGGATCAATATAGTCATTCTATTCTATTCTTAAAGGAGCAATATGTAACTCTGACACCTAGTGTTTAAAATGGGTACTGCAGTCCAAATTCAAAACATTGAAGAGAGCTGTCGCCTCCGCCGCTCCTCCTGATATTCGATGCACACAGGTGCTGTGTAGCATGCAATGAAGCTTCAGTGTTTAACCAGCTGAACGGCAGCACTTCATCGTGGCATGTTTCCTAAATGTCTGACGATAAAGTTAGGTCATTTTATGATTTAATTCAGTAGACATCTTACAGATTTCTCCTCTAGAGAGAGGACAGTGGGTAGAGTCGGAAATCAGCGAGAGAGATAATGGGAAAGACGTGCGGGAAAGGAGCCACATGTCGGATTCAAACCCGGGATGCCCGCCTGGAGAACTACAGCCCTCTGTACATGGGGCGCACACACCAGCCACTACGCTACCGGTGCCCTTCTTGGTAAGATTTAAATGCAAGTACACACTTTGACAATATATTCAACATAGGTCTGATTGTTTTTTTTTTTTTTTTTTATATTTAAATTTGAAATGTTTCACCTTTAAGTTCCAGAGCGGTCTGAATGTACTTTTTTTTGTTTTGTTTTTTTGCTAGCTGATCTGATCTGAGCTGCAGTGTTAAGTGACAGTGATTTGCTATTTAAGCTGTTTTTTTTTTTTTTATTATAGTTGACTTTGCCAGCAATAGTGGCATCCCCATTACGTCTCTTCTGCTGACGAGATGAGAGCGGACAGATTCAGTTAAAGAGAGAGAGAGAGACACGGGGGAGGGAGAGAGAGAGAGAGAGAGAGAGAGACGGGGGAGGGAGGCGGAGCGAGGCTTTACTACAGTGTATGTGTGTATGTGTGTATGTGTGTATGTGTGTGTGTGTGTCGAGGAGGTCGGCAGTGAGGAGGAGGAGAGGAGAGGATGCTGGATGCTGAGACGGAGGTGCTGGTGTTTCACTTTCTGTCACACTGAAGCTCATCGCATCCTGACGGAGGAAGAACAACAACAACACGTCTGCTAGGAAGCCTCAGGTAAGACGAGAGATTCACACTTCAGATACTTTTCTTCAAATTTCTGTCAGAGTTTTAACTGATGTCGTTTGTGTGAGGAAGAGGGACCTTTAACTATGCAGTTTGAGGTTGGTTCACAGCAGCACATAAAGCATGCCGATGCAATTAACAGTGTTAAAATAATAATAATAATGTTGAATGAATTAGTGAAGGTTTATTCAACAGTATATTTCTGATATTTCCTTAAAAGTTTCAACTCTCTTCCTTCGAATAATGAATCTATTTTAAATGTTTAAATACATTTTTCCACTGAATAACCAGGAAAAAAAATCTGTTACTTGTGTGAAATTGTCCGAACATATATATATATTTTACTTGTTGTGTGCTCATAACATCAAACTCAGAGATAGCGGATGTGATGTGGATTACATAAGACGACTCATTAATAGCAAAAGAAGAATCTATTTTCATCTTGAACACATAGATGATGAGAAATCCTTAAATCCTAAAATCCATCTACTGTAGAGAACAACCAGATGTTTTTATGCCAATACAAATAACAACATTTGACATATGTGAATTAATCCAATAATGTTGTATTTCTTTTATATTTATTAATATTTCTACGGTTTTATAAGCAATAAGGTACAGAAAAAGCAAATACTACAAATAATAATCAATCTTCACGTGTAATTCTTATAACAAGACCATGAAAAGTTTTCGTCTCCTTCAGCCAACCTGGTTTTAATTTGTTAGCTCGAGACAGGATTATTGTTCCAGTAGATGTCGCCCTTGAGCTCCAGCATGAAACCAAAACAAACTGCTCTCCACTCGCATTCCATGAAGGAGTTATCATTTTGAACGCACCATAATTAATTAATTAGTGCAAAATTGTCCTTTGCTCGAGCTGCAATCGCATGTGGCCTGCATTGTTGTGTTAGCATGCTAATGTTAGCGCTCTTTAGTTACCTCGTAGCTTCACATTGCACATAGATTGACACAGAATGAGCGTGATCTAAAAACACTTAGATGACATTCAAATAATCAGTGAGTATGTTCTTCTTCTCTCTAGTCCTTGGCTTAAACAGCTTTATACGCGAGACCGTCCTGTCCATGTAAACATGACTCTGACAACAACACAGCCAGCGGGACTCGAGCTTCTCACTCATTTTAGACAGTCAGGACTCAGAGACACATTTACACAGGACAGACTGGATTTCTGCTTTATTTATTTATGTGTAAAATGTCGACATTCTTCCTTTAAGCAAAAAGCTCACAATGAGTGCGTTTTCATGGACTTGATTTCATTGGACTTGAGTATCCTGGGTATGAGCTTTATCCTGGATTTGATCATATGTGGGGTATGGTGTTTACCTGCACATAGAAATCTGGTTCTCGAGATTCTCGAATCATGAGATCCTCGTTTATACCCATGATAAATAAGACTATCTTGGTTTTGATTACTGCATCTTTCCCAGTTTTCCAGTCTCCATGTAAACCTAAGATAACTGGATGCTGGATTTAGCTGCCTTTTGTTGGGGTGTCAACTGCAGAAGTGGTAATGATCTTTGCTAATACTCTTCAACGATTAAGCCATAGACTGGATAACATATGCACGTAGTCTCAGTGATGTCACAGGTCAGTTTCTGAAGAGGCGTTTTGAAGCTCAATGATGGCAATCACCATAATGGGAACGTTGTCTCTGGCTGACTTTTGATCAATTTAGAGACAAGACAAAGAGGTGGAGCTGAGGTGCATCATGGGCCTCCTGGCAAACTGCTGCAACACCCGTCAGTCAACTCAACCATGCTACTAGTACTGCATCCATCCATCCATCTATTTTCTTGTGTTATTCAGTCATTACCAACATTTTTCTCCAGACTTTAAACATAGAAATGTGTTTTCTAGATCGATAGAAAATGATCGATCGCAAGGAAACCATCTTAGTTATTCCGGGTTTAAACTGGGAAAAGAAGATTGAGATCTCGACAGAACAGCCGGAAGTTTATGGTTATCCCTGGGAAATTTCCATACCATTTAAACAGAGTAAATTAAATGTATTGATGCGTGTCCACTTGGGGCTTCTGCATAAGGGAGCACTAAAGGAGCACTTTTCTAAAGCAGTCTGTAAGTAGAGTGTGAATCACAGAAGAGGAGGCGTTCTTGTCTTAATATCCTCGGTCAGCTCCGGAGAAACCATCGGCAAAGAGGGTTGAAGGAGCACGCAGCTCAATGACTAACTTGTCATGGCAGCAGTTTAGTCAAAGCTGAGATGGACGGGAAGAGGAGGGACGAGGGAGAAAGGAAAGCAATTGATTTGCAATGCTACAGCACTCATTTTATAATTTAGTCTATCATCCTCAGCAAGATTATTGAGTCCCCCCTCTTCTTTCCCATGCTCTCTGTAATCCCGCCTGAATGCCCCTTTTGACCCCCCCCCACCATCAGCTGTATTGGCTGTGAGGCGGGTGGGCGGTGGATTATACAGACCGCTGATCTCTCAGGTGCTGACTGATGTGGCTAATGTGCTTGAACAGAAACGCTTCACGCTAGCTCTACAGTCCCCCGCCTGCTGAACTCAGGGGAATTACCTCCAACTGAAGGTGTTTTTTCTTCTTGACTCTGCTCTTTGAGACGTTCTCACTAAAGACTTAATTGTCCTTAGTGCTGCGTTTTGTAGAAAAAAAAATGCCTCGTCTGTTAAAGGGAAGATCCAACCAAACCACAAGAATGTTTTCTGCAGGAAACACAGCAGGACAGCTCGCGCTCACCATCAAATAACGGGTTTATTTTGAGTGTGATCATAACGTTTCTTTTGCCTCTAGCAAGTCATTTAAAGCCATTTAGTCTCTACTGGCTGTCATGAGTGTGAATTTCTTACAGAAAACAGATTCATGTTTGTGTTGGATGAAGGGGTCCCACTGATCTCTAGAGCCGTTTTCACATATGCCCTCCTGAAAACATCTAGATAACTTCAGGAAGACAGCTCCGGAGATTCTCCCAACCTGGCTCTTCACATATGCACCTCACAGCGAGAGACTATCGTAGCAGTATCATGCGTACAGTCTATGCACTGACTCCAGTCACAGGATATAAACGTCACCACCCTCTCCCATTGGCTCCAGCTGAATTCTCCGTAGAATATCCTGCTGCGTTCTCACATTAACTCACTCGGGACTTGCTGTTGAAAAAACACTAGGGGTCTAGCAGAAGAAACTCCGGATGAAGTCCTAATGTTTGTCTGTTTGCGCTCACACAAAAAGCTCCTACTGCAAATATCAGGAGTTTTCTGCTAGTGTGAAAGCCCTATATGTGGCATTTTCCTTTCAGACAAATACAAAACTAAGACATTTACCAGATTCAATAAGCTTCCTCCCTGCAAAAACTCAAATCTTACAAAGTCTGTTTGTCTAATTTGTAGTTGGAATATCTCATTGCACCTAATATAAGCCACGTTCACATTACAAGTCCAGATGAATCATCTAACGCGAAGGTATCATAAGAAAAAAAAAAAACACGGCTTGAATTGCTTTTACTGATACCTGCCAGTGCAGAGAGAAAAATGCAATTGTAAAGTTTCTTGAAATAGGACAATCCATCTTACTTTTAGAGATGTTTTTGACTAGAAACGAGGCAAATTAGATTTTTTTACAGTGTACATTTTTGATGCTGAGGTATCGGGGTTTTGAAACGTGTGATAGATGTGAGGTCCCAGAGACCTTTGAGCTTTTCAGTTTAAAATGTCATCCCTCACTTTTATCCCGTTGGACATCTGTGTGAAATCGTGTCACAAAAGAGACGGCCCCGCCCACTCAGGGATGCTGTTTGTAGAGTGAGAGCACAAGCAGAGCAAAGAGTCTTTCTGAACGGAAAGAAAACACTTTGTTCTTAAGTACTTCAAAGACATAAGAACCTAATCAACTTTGGGCTGCATATATGAACGAAGATAAGTCCTACAAACGGTTGCTCTCAGGTCAGAAGACTGAGGGGAAGGGTGAGGGAGGAGGTTAGGGGGTGCGCTGAGGGAAAGTGGACGTGTGGAGAAAGAAAATCTTTGTTTTGGTCAAAGACACTGAAGTGTAACATCTACTGGACTTCTACTCTGAACGTCACATATCGTACCTCTAAATACTATGACATCATGATTGTCTAGAGGTTAGCCTTGTTTATACAGGAGGCCAGATTTTACATCCTGACCCCGAGACCAGAGTGCTCCGAGACCGAGACATTTAGGGATCGAGACAGAGTCAAGACCAAGGCCATAAATATCAGTGAAAGATCACCATCTTGTGTCACCCACTAAGACCATAACACCGGTAAGGTTGCGACCGTAACCGGGGGATACAAATACAATTATAGAAAGGGGCGTTTTCATCCTAGTCATAGGAATGATGTAGTAAAATAGCCTGTCAGTTCCTGACCGGTCTTGATTTAAAAATTCGGATTCCACCCAGCCTGAGATCGAGACAAGACCGAGACTTTCAAAAAGTGGTTTCAAGACCTATTTTGAGACCTTCAACACCAGTCTACCTACAACATCTTCTTTCTGAGACCTTTACGGACTGTTTGAGTTTCGCAGGTAAAAATATTGCAGCTCTAAAATCAACCCATAAACATAGCATGAAATATTAAAACACTGGCATGGATCATTTTAAAAGCTGAAGTTCTTCACTTAAAGTACATGATATAAACGTTTTCCTTTTTACGGCACTTCATGTACTGGAGCATTTCTACACCTTTTATTGTTACCTTCAGTTAAGGCTCTGAACTCTTCATCCTGACTTTAACATAAAAACGTTTTTTTAAAAATCAAATGCATATGCACACAATACACACTCCTATTATGAGACGTAGTAAAAGTAAATGGCTTTGTGTTATTGATGGACGATATACGTCCAGTGTAAGTGGGTGAAATTGCCTCTTCGATCATAAAAGCGAGTCACTGTGAGGGTCAGGTCTATTCGGACCCAATCAATTTAAGCAATCAATTGAAATTCATGACTTTCGCATTTTTCCCTATT